AAAAAAAAAAAAAGAATTTCCCAGCCCAAAGAAGCCCAGGCTGTGACTCCCCTTGACTTCCAGTGGCAAAACACAGGCCTGTGAGCGTTGCTTGTCCAGGGGGACCCTGTTGGCCTTTCCCGAGGGGAAGCCGACAAACCGAGGGGGGCAGGAGGCTCGGCCCCGGTCTTGGCAGCTGGCCGTACCCCTTGAGCGAAAGACGTTTGAGCGCTGCTCATTGCAGCAAGTTGCCGTTATTGAACGAAATATCCCCCAACTTGTCAGTTCCTCATCAGCGGGCGCCAAAGCAAGAGAGAAGCGGAGGGAAACGCAGAACTCGGGCAAGTAATTACCGTAGGAAAAACGAAGCGTTCAGAGGCGGGGGGGGTGGGGGGAAAACAGCCTGGAAAAACAGCGCGAGGTACTACGGCGTGTTCCTCGCCACCGCTTTCCCCCAGCCACCGTGGAGACGCGCGGACACGCAGCAGCGCGGCCGCCGGGAAGCTCTTGGCCCTCTGCGGCACAGCTGGCCTGGAGTAAGAGACTTCCATCAACGTGCGCAAAATGGCAAGGGCTTTCGGGAGACGCTGACGAGATTGCCCCTGAGGCGTGATTTTTCTTTTTTATCTACTTTTTTGTTTGTTTGTTTGACTGCCAGTGGCTGCAACGTTTTTCTGAGATGAGCCAAGTTTAAATAGCGTGAACCAAGGGCCTGGGGGGACCCTTGCTTATTTCTCTTTGAGCTGTTCCAAGGCGTAAGCTGACCGTAGCGCTCCTGATTTGTTCCTAAAAAAATCAATCAAATGAAATATGCTTTCATTCCTCTTCCTCACTGTGACTGTGCTCAGGAAGCCTCTGTGTAATAGAAAGCATGACCACATGGCTACGGCGATGCTTGCAAGCCTGTGAATGTATATCTTTGTGTTATTCACTGTTTATGTGTTTTACTCCTTCCTCCCACCATGTTTGTCTTATGAGCTCATCGCTTTTGAGTGGTATCACCAATTTTGTATCAATATAACATCTAGCAGAGTAGGACCCTGCGTGGTTGCACAGAGGTACGACTGTTACTCTAATAGTGTGTATTACTAGGCTGTTGGCAGGGAACTGCAGCTGCACAAGGAAGGTGCTTAATGCACTGGGCAAGCTGCTGATGGCTAGAGCCTCCTCCAGCCCTGCTGTAGGAAGACTCGGAGGAAGAGCAGGGTGAGGTGGACGTCTCTGTGTTTCCGTTTGCAGGGCGCCACGTTCGGCAGACCCGGCAGCGAGGCTTATTCGTCTGCAGGGAAGAGATCAGGGACCCCCGGCGCACGGCTGGCTGGGCTAGTGCTCGAGGTGCTCTTGGGTCGGGTCTGTGCACCCTGGGGAGCTCATGAAGAACCCGCCTCTGATCTTCAGGTTATCCTCTACCTACTCACATGGCCTCCTCAGGGGATAAACTACGTTTTTATGGGCCCCTGCCCATGGAGGATAAATGAAGATGCTGCTGTAACCCAAGAGGAGGTGAATGGTGCCATTTCAAGTCCCTTTTCATCAGCACTTTTAAGCTCCTTGAGATGGGTTTCTGCTCTGCTCACGTTCTCCTTGACTGACAGCATGGGAATTACCTGGCACATAGCAGATCTGCCTCATATAGGGACTTAACTGCTGGCGCATCTGTTGTCTTATGCATATTTTGTTTTCAGAACAGTTTCACGCTGAAAATATTCATAAAAA